GCATTAAGGGGCAATGCCCACCCTGATCTGAAGTTTTGACAGGATCAGGAAAAGGAAGTCATCATAATCATTAAAATTAATTATTATTGTTATTAAAATTAACTTTTCATGAATATTTTGAATGTTAATTTTGTAATCATTTCTTGCAATGGCAACCAAGCAAGTGTCAAGCATCAGTCTCTCCTTTCTTTCTTGCCTCCTAAACCAAAAAAAAGAAATACCAATGATGATGAAAGAAGTAAGGTTAATAGCTAACATGTATAGATCTATAAATAAGCAAGTACTGCTTGTCATAAATCATCAGTTGTGTTAATGGCAGCTGCACACAAAATTTACTACCTGAAATTTCTATAGATGAGCCAGATCTAGTGTCAGTTGATTTCACAGAGTTAGAGACTAATGATTATGATCTTCCTTGTGATACTTCTACTTCTAGTGATGCTGAGTCTGATTAGTCTCGCTAGCCAGACCATTCCCCAGCCTACGGTCATTGGGGTGGACGGAAATGGCTGTAGGCTAAGGAATGGTCTGGCTAGCGAGACTAAAGTCTCATAGTCAATCACGAAGTCACACTCACGGCACATGCACAGAGGATGACAATGGTTGAAAAATTAAATATTGCGAGGCCCCTAATATTACGGGAAAATGTAGTTCCGCACAGCGGGGAAAAAGTGGGCGTGGTCAAAATCTTGTTCCTTAGTCACAATGACTTTCTGGCCGGTGTTGCTGGCCATTGTGAAGCCAATATATGAAGCTATCACATATCTGGACAAAGGGAATTTAGGAAGCATTGTTGCATTGGTCATCATTTCAAATTTTAATCTAACTTTACATGTATGTATGTATATACATAATAATTTTAGGTACCAAAGGGGCAGGGTGAGGCTACGTATAATTGAATAATTTCCCATTACAAATTACACTCCTCTACCAATCTTAATCTACCAATGACACACATAATGGGAGAGAGTGGAGGACCTCCTATCAATGGCTATGTACCAGTAGGAGGAACTGGTCCTACTATTGATGAAAAAGCAAAAATTCATAATTTCCCATAACAATAATAATAAAATATTATTCATTGGGCAGAGCCCACTAGTTCGAGTAGAGTATGTTTGTCTGTTTGTCTGCTAGCCTTGTACACGTACATGTATGTCACCCCTATTTATCCGTATGAAAAAATTTCCACTTTTTAATAACCTAATCTTAATCTTCATTGAAAATGGGTGTTGTCAAAATGAAATAAAATGGCGCCGGCAGCAATATAAGTCTACTGCTCTCCAAATACAGTAAGGAAGGTTAAGAAAGCAGATATGCTACAGTTGCAAAAAAAATTATTATAGCTGCAACTCGTGAAGCCTGCACAACTTCTGACATTAGCTATGACTGTGGTTACTGTCTCAGGCTTCCAACACAACATGATGTGATTGATGACTGAACTGATAAAGAAAATTCCTATTTCCAACCATGATAACTTCATCAAGAACTACTGTATTTACTCATGTACATGTACCTATATATAATCTTCAGGATAGCGTGGCTAGGGGGCTGAGCCCCCTAATGTTTTACATTCTGTTTATTTAATATTATTTATTGTACTTGTATAATAATTATACTAAATTATGAATAATGATATATTCTTAATAATCAATTATTGGGTATATTTATACACTCACCAGTAGCAGTACTGTGTACATCATTGGTTCCTTTGATATCATTACCACTGATCATAGCATTACGTTCTATAGAATACACACACACACAGTCAATACTAATACAATCAGTGATATTAACTTACTCTCTTGATCTAACTTGTCAGCTGCAGCATTCTCATTCATAGATTTAAGAGCATCTGACAGTGAGTCAAAGGTAGCTCCTCCTTTACTGTCAACATAATCAACTCTACGTAACCACTTGGAGAGGCATTCTGTCAAGCATCGAGATATATTACCAGGATGATCTCTTTTAATGGCGTCCAGTGTGTACTTGTGTAGTCCTAGTGTCAGTCCCAGCTCATGCCATCTTGTCTGAGGGAAACCACATCTCTTCAACAGATCAAGTACATCAATAAGTTGATCTAAAATCATATTCAATGATACATAGATAGTTAATGAACATTACCAATAGTCAAAGGAGAAGAGAAGAGAGAAGGAGGAAAGCTGAAAATGAGATCGCTTTGATTTTCAGATTTATTCTGTGCTTCAAATTGTTTCTCGAGCAATTCAACTTTTTTCAACAGAACAAGTTCCAAGGGTCGATTGACACACTCATCCTGTTCATGAAACTTTATATCTTTACGTGTATATTTCTGGCCACAGTCCCATTTACATTCATCAAGGACGTATTGACAATCCTTCACTAGATGAGGATCTTTAATATGACGTAGCTCACCAATCCATTGACACCCCTCCTCCCTGTGAGTGCAGTGCACTTTGAGTGCCTTTACTTTCCTCTTGTGGTCTTTGTCTGTCAACATTCTGAACTCTTTTGTTCTGCATAAAGGACAAGGCCTCCCAGCAAGTCGTTCTCTGTCAATACAGGACAAACAGAATTTAGCTCCACAGCAATCTACTATCTGTGGCTCTCGACAAGGCAGGCAACAGATTGGACACGTTAGGTTTTCTGGAGGTTCTTCAACGTATTGATAATCATATCCTCCAGCTTCAGGCATAGTCAGTGGCTGATAACCGAGCTGATCACTAGCCATTGTAATAGATTAGCAATGACCAAACTAGTCTCGTGCCCCGCCCCTTCGCTTTTGGAGGAAGGGTCTGGAGACACTCAAGGCTTTTTTGTTGCATGCTGGAATGTAATTAGTGGAGCTGATCATATGACCGGATGCATCAACGTGTTAATTTCACGTGATAGACACACCCCAAGAACATGGCTACCAGAAGTATGAAGAAGGAATCATAGCTAAAACTCATTTCAAATCAGTTTTTATCATTAATTTGTTTTGTTTTTCTTCATTCATCCTCTACTTATTAAATGCATTTTGCTATCAGATCAAAACAGTATGTTTAATAATGCAATGGCTGTTAGAGACTGACATCATTTGCAGATGAGGTAGAAGTAGTTCTTCATCTTCCATAAAAGTATGTACCCCTATAGCACTACAGATAATTATTAGACAACAATCATAAGTTAAGTGAACTGACCATTTCTTAACTCATTGCTCATCAATAGGTAAGCTCACTAGCTTTAGTCATTGACCAGAGGACCAAGGAAGAGTTTTTCTGTTCCAGAACTTATTTTCCAGAGGACATAATGCAGTACAGAGCCACAGTAGTGATTGACACTTTGTTAACGACCTGGGGGCGTAGCCCCCAGGTCGTTCCTATAATTGAATTCACCGTCGCGCTATCTATATCCCTTTTCCTTACACAAGTAATTCGCAAAGATTTATCCTTTGGACAACTTTTTGAATTATTTATGTTGTCATGGAAATCATCAATTATTCGACGCCACACCTCTTGACCACGCCCAATCAGCCATTTTGATCGTTTTTCATAGAGTATCTTTGTGCCTTTCAAGAGCTCTCAGTAGACCTGCAAGTTCTATTCCATTCACTTAAAAGTGCTCCAAAGCACCTAAACTGCTTGCACCTACATAGATTTTAGCTGCTGCATTTACTTACAACCAGTTTCATTGCCTTTACAATATCATCAACAAATAGTCAACTTTTTGCAAAAAAAAAAAAAAAAAAAATAAGTGTTGAATAGCAATTATATCAAAGTGCCGACAAAGCATTCTTTCACTTTTCTATTCTTTCCTATGGTTTCTATTTTACCACTAATATTATTCAATACCAATTTCTGCCAAGAAGGTGTGGTTTCCTGTAAAACGCACGTGTTTGCCCTAAAAAGAGGCGTGGTAATTGCTTTTTAATTAATTGTTATTACCTTGTTGTAGTTCTACAACAAATTGTCAGGCAAAGAGATATATATATATAATATTTATTTATTTATTTGTATGTCCACACTTACATTTCTTCTATACACGTTGTATTGGAGAAATAACAAGCCTTAGCAACCACCCGCCCACGCTCCTTTACGTGAGTGGGTGTGGCCACGGCAAACAAAATGGCGGGTTACACTTTGGGAACTAGCCATTAGGGAGAGATTGTTACCATTCCGTAAACTATCCGTCAACGGACTTTTACGGGCTTCGCCTGTATACTATACATGGGACAAAGTTAAGAGCTTTCTAACAGCAAGAGAGCATAGAGATACTGTCTAAAGACCTCTCTAGAAGCATTATAAGGTAGAGAGAGCCTCTATAAGTCTTAATAATGACCAAGTTGTACTTGCAAGGTGGTGAAATCAATTATAGGAATATTTTTTACCCTGTTACGCTTGTTTGCCACTAAATCCTGTCAGCAGGCAAAAGAAACTATCCTAATCATCAATAACAGACTTTGTGATGCTCATTTCTGTTCCTCCTTTACTTCTCTTTGAACCTCAAATCCTGTAACAACTCATGAAGCTCCTGCAAATTCTACTTATCTTTTAGAGGCCATTTTATTAAAATTATATCATGTGATATTAACTAGTTTGCGGTGGTACCACGTGGTTGGAGCAATCTGATTGGGACGCTGACATTCCAGCGCTATGCAACAAAAAAGGTGGGCCAGCCTGAAATGCGGATCAAATGCGGATCGGGCTGAAATGCGGATCAACGCGGAACGCTCGAGGATCTCTATTGAAACTCGACTGATCTGTCTGAAAGAATGATATCTATGCATCAGGAGTGAATTTTTATTAGCTCTATTTGAGTTTTTGATAAGAACTTCATCATTTTAGCAGTTTCAGAACAGGTAGGCTGTTGATGATCATTAGATCTATGTCAATAATATTATTTTCGTTGATAGTTACATTTACTATAGTGTCAGTTTTATTGACAGTTAGAGCTGATATAGTAGTTTCAATAATTAGACTATAAAACTTCATAGTAACGTAGTTGCTAGTAATTTTCATGACAGTTAGATCTATATAAGCTGATTATTGTTTCATTAAGACTATATGAAGCATTTTGGTGGGGTGATTACAGTTTCTTTTTTATATACAGTATCTACTTGAGCTGACCATAACTTCAAGATTTATGTGTGAATGTGATTCAGAACAATAACATCTTATAATGGATCCTTTAAGAAATAATTATAATAAATTCATAAGTTTTTAATGACACAGTGATATTATAGCTTTAACACAATAGCAAACTGCTGCAGCAGCTGATATATGAACTGAATATTTCAAACTTTGATTGAATAGGGATAACAAAAGAATTTTTATTTTACCACGAGAAATGAAAGTATAGTTAACTGTCTCTATTGCAACACATTAATGCTCTGAATTTTTATGAAGACAGCTATAGTCATACACAAGGTAGTGCAGACTGTGAAATGTTTCTGGTCAGTGATGTATTAGTTAACTATAACTATAACTAAATCTATTTTAGTATAGCAAAATTCTAATTTAGTTAACTAAACTATAATTTTTCCATTTGATGTGAAAATAACTAGAATCATAACCAAAATGATTTGTCAAAACTATAACTAAAATAGAATTAACAGTTTTGTTCTAGTACTAGCCACACCTACTTGTTAATTGAAATTTACTTTCATTTGACGAAAATTGACCCTTTTGAGAGGGTACTTTTGTTAGTGGGGCATGCTTCTTTACGGTAAATTTGAAATTGCTATGAATCAATGACTTTTTTGCCTGGTATTGTTTGGTTTGTAATAACTAAAACTATAACTATAACTAAAAGAAAATTGAATCACATATTCATAACTAAAATAAATATGCTGAGGCTTTACTATAACTAGAACTGGAACTAAATATACCTTGTTCTAAAGTACCATAACTAAAACTAAAATGTAAATCATGAACTAAAACAACACTGTTTCTGGTTATGAATCACCACTGATAAGGGGAGAAATACAATCTTCATTATAACATTAATGCATACTATTTTATAATGGCATTGCGGGCGTATGGAAGTTTTATAGCTTTATAAAATGTACTCCATTCCAATTAAAAAATTATTTGATGTTATTAAAAGTCATTAATTTTCAAGTTAGTTCATACATACATTTCCCATTTACAGTACAAATTTATTTAAACTGCTATAGACCCCTTATCAAGTGAATTTTATTCACATGATTTATATTTCTTATACATTCATCTCACTTTAATTAGATTTTGCAATTATAAAACCAAAGCATATAGTACACTG